ATACAAAAAATTAGCCGGGCGCGGTGGCGGGCACCTGTAGTCCCAGCTACTCAGGAGGTTGAGGCAGGAGAATGGCGGGAACCCGGGAGGCGGAGCTTGCAGTGAGCCGAGATTGCACCACTGCACTCCAGCCTGGGCGACACAGTGAGACTCTGCGTCAAAAAAAAAGAGAAATTAATCAGATTTGTAATCCATGTTCAAATGCTCCTGAAAAAATTGGTTTTCAGAGTTTTGTTTATTAGCCTTATAAGTTTAATAAATTGAGCATTAAACAAATAAACCCATAAAAACTCAGAGGATATGGAGCTATCTTCTCACAGCCTGGACTCTTCAAAGGAGGGACATCCCTGAAAATGGAATTTCTTACTCCATAATATCAGATGACACCACGGAGGGGAAAAATGTGTTTGGAGGTGGGGGAGATGTGTATGGCCAGCCCCACCTTCTGGAGGCTGGGCTCGTGCTAAGTAATAAGAACTTGGGGTGAATCGGGCCCCAAGTCTCAGGAACAGACAGACACGGGCATGGTAGCCAGGGCCCAGGATAAGGGCGGCTTATGAGCAAAGGCACACGGAGATTCACAGATCAGGAAGGGAGTATCTGGAGTATCTGGAGTATCTGGTGATGCTGCTGTGTGACCTTGAAGGAGTGACCCGGCCTCTGCACCTTTCTGTGCCCATCTGTAAAATGGGAATGGAAACAGCATCTTCCTTTGAGGGTTCTGTGAGGATTGAATGAGGTGATGCAGGTAGCTGATAACTGAGCATTATTAGTCCTCAATAATGTTCTGAGACTGATAATGGAGCCAGGAGTGCTCTGTCCAGATCAGGCCAAACAAGCTAGAAGGACTGGCCAGAACCCGGGGTGGTGAGAAGGAGGCACAGTGGGGCCCTGTAAACCCAGTCAGTGTCAGGGAGGCTGCCTCCAGGAATTATGGAGACCCTAGCAAAGGTGAGCAACAACGGCGTTTTGGGCACACACCGAACAAAAGAAACATGGAGTACCTTCTTCATGCCAGCGTGGTGCCGAGGGCTTTAAATACATCCAGCCCCTGCCAAAACCCCATGGTCGGGATGATCATTCCCATTTTTTTTTAAATTTTTTAAATTTTTTTAATTTTTTGAGACGGAGTCCCTCCTGTCGCCCAGGCTGGAGGGCAGTGGCACAATCTCGGCTCACTGCAACCTCCACCTCCCGGGTTCAAGTGATTCTTCTGCCTCAACCTCCTGAGTAGCTGGAATTACAGGTGTGCGCCACCACGCCCGGCTGATTTTTGTATTTTTAGTAGAGACGGGGTTTCACCTGTTGGCCAGGCTGGTCTTTTTTTTTTTTTTTTTTTTTTGAGACGGTGTCTTTCTCGGTCACCCAGGCTGGAGTGCGGTGGCGCGATCTCGGCTCACTGCAAGCTCCGCCTCCCAGGTTCACGCCATTATCCTGCCTCAGCCTCCCGAATAGCTGGGACTACAGGTACCTGCCACTACGCCCAGCTAATTTTTTTGTATTTTTAGTAGAGATGGGGTTTCACCGTGTTAGCCAGGATGGTCTCGATCTCCTGACCTCGTGATCCACCCGTCTCGGCCTCCCAAAGTGCTGGGATTACAGGCGTGAGCCACTGCACCCAGCCCAGGCTGGTCTTGAACTCCTAAACTTAAGTGATCTGCCCACCTCAGCCTCCCAAAGTGCTGGGATTACAGGCGTGAGCCACCGTGCCGGCCTGATCATTCCCATTTTATAGATGAAGAATTTGAGGCTCAGAGAGGTCAAATGCCTTGCCTAAAGCCGCACAGTGAGGAAGTTATGGAGATTGTGCCCGCCATAGCCGCTGCTTTACACTGACAACTCGCTACATGCTGAGATGCAGGCAATGTTGTCCAGCCCATTGTACAGATGAGTGAGCTGAGACTCGAGAAGACAAATTACTTGCCCGGTCACCAGCTAGCAAGTGATGGGACACGGCATGGAACTCAAGTCCCTGTGATTCCAGTGCCACCTGTCTGTGGCTGGGCCTGCTTCTCAGTGGCTGGCTCCATAGTCCTCCGTGGTGGGAGGCACGAAGAGAGGGGGAATGGGGACTCACAGAGAAGAGGGGACCCCGCTGGTATCCCCAACCTCTCCCACACACGCCATTAGTCGCCCTCACCCCAGCACAGTAGACAAAGGCAGCCCCATAATTGGGAGTGAGTATTTCATGCATCCCCCCCGATGTTTTATTGGGTGGAGAGATGCTTGGAGACCAAACGGATGGCGCACGCTGTTTATAAAGTGCGTGCAGTTTGTTTTATTTCCCGAGTTTTTGCAATCTAGATAACAGATGATGCCCTGAGTGGCTGGCGCTGCCTCCGTAATGGCGGCACCGAGCCTTTGGAGAAGTATTAATAATAGATTGTGTTGATGAGTTTGGAGAAAGTAGCAATCGACCCCCTGCTGCCAAGGCATTAGCGGCTGTTCGAAACACAGCCAGCATTGTGGCTTTGACTGCAAATGCAGGTCACCGGCCCTGCTGCCTTCTCCCCAGCCTGAGAAGGTCTCCTCTCCAGGAGTCACCCAAGGTGTGCTGACCCTGGCCTGGGACCCTGAGACCCTGGCCCTGCCATGCTAGCAGCGATATGGCCAGTGTCTGTTCACTCAGAGGCCACAGAGGTCAGGCTGCAGATCTTAGTGTGGCCACTAGGTCAGGTGGAGTGTAGGGAGGGGACAGAGGGGCAGTGGGGGTTGGGGGAGGACCACCCTCCATGTCAGAACACCAGGTTCTACAAACCCAGGCTCCTTCCTCAGCCCCTGGGTAGAGCTGGACAGCCAGCCAGATTCCTAGGGCCTCTGCCTAAAGCTATCACTGACAGTTGGGTAGGTTGTGCCCTGAACAAGGGGATTCAGCCAGAGGGCCAAATTAAAGCCAGAATCCAGCCCACATTCCCCTTGCAGAGCCATGCCCTGCAGGCTGGTGGGGTCCAGCATGCCCAGAGCAGAGCCTGGCCTCAGCCTCAGCTCACCCCAGGCCCTTACTCACCTACTCTAAACACTCATGGAGGCCCCCGCTTGAGGATCAGATGGGACCAGGTCCTGTCTCACGGAACCCCAGTAAAGTTGGTAGAGTTGGGCACCAGCAGGGACATGCATTGTCATTCTGCTATGATACCCGTGCACTGAGTTACATGCTCAGCATCCTCGAATCCTGACAACAGCCTTCAGGAAGGGCTTGACATCTCCATTTTACAGGAGTAAACTGAGGCTGGGGGAAGCTCAGGGGAGCATAGAGAAGGCCACCTCCCCCAGACTGGGGCATCAGAGAAGGTTTCCCAGAGGAGGTGGCATTGGAGTTGGGCATTGCGGGATGAGTAGGAGCCTGCTGGGTAGAATAGAGGTGGGTGGCAGGGGTCACTGGGGGTGCCCCCTGCTGAGTGCTCTGGCCAGTGCCCAGGCAGCATGCAGAGCTCAAAGCGGCCCTACCCACTTCACTCCACCAGCTTGCCGTGGGCGGTTCTGATGGCAGCCCCGGGAAGGGAGGCAGGCGAGTGCCTCCCATTTATGGCCATTTCTGTTCCAGAACCGATTAGTAGAGAATTGCAGCTGTAATCTGTGCCCGTGATGGCGGGCCATAAAGAGAGATGGGATGTGCACAGCGCTCCCAAGGTGGCGCCCGCAGACGTGGCCCGGGGACGCCGGGAATGAAAAATGGTTTTAATTCCCTCCCAGCAGCAATAATTTGATTCTTCATAAATTTTTCCATCAAAGTGTTGTTGAGCTGAGTTCCCACAGAGCAGGACACGTGACAGGGTGGAGGAGTGTCGGGAGGAGCGGTCAGCAGACACAGCAGAGGAGGGGCCGTGCTGCCTAGCCCCTCCCGCTAGTGCTGGCCAGGGCCCAGAGACCCCCTCCGGCCCCCGCCGCCCTCGTTTGTCTGCAGAGATGATGGGAGATGGGACCACGTTGTCATACGGGAGCTGAATTAGGCCCAGCCTGGGAGTTGCCTCCAGCATTTACCCATGTGACTCTGAGCAAGTGACTCTGCCTCTTAGCACCTCAATTTCCTCATCTCTAAAATGGGGCTAATGTTCATTCTCTTCTTGTAGGGTTGTTGCAAGGATTAAATGCATCTCTGCACATAAGATGCTTAGAGTAGGGCTGGCACTGTGTACGTGCTCAGTGAATATCTGTTTGTGATGGAGATGCATAAGCTGAGACAGAGGGATGGGAAGGTGTTAGCCAAGCCAAAGGACAGAGAAAGATGTGTTGAAAGGCTGCCATGATGGTGCTCTGGAGAAACTGCAGGCTGTTCTTTGGGGCTGCAGCCTGGGGAAGCAGAGGGTAGAGAGGGAAGAGGCAGGATGATGAAGGGCCTTGAGTGCCAGCCTCAGGAGCTCAGATGGTCTCCTAAGGGCACTAGGGAGCCATGGAAGAGTCTGGAGCAGGGAAGCAGCTTGATCCAATTTGTATTTTAGAAAGATCCCCCGGCTCCTGTGTGTATGACGACCCCTGTGTGGGCTGTGGTTTGAAGGATTGAAGAGGCCAGGAGCCCAGAGAGGGGACCAGGCAATTGCTCAGGCAGGAGAGGAGGGGCCCAGGCTGGGCAGTGGGTTGGGCAGGGAATTGCTTGGATGTGTTGGTGAGGGAGGATCAGAGGAGAGGGAGACCAGGGAGCTGAGGAAGAGAGGATCCTTTCCAGACAGGGGCTGACCTGGCCCCCAGGGAAAGTTTGGGTGGAGCCTGCACACTGCCCTCTAGTGGCCACCATGTCTCTGAGCTGGAAGGGCCCTGAGCTGCCATGCCCGGGACAGGTGACTCTAGGCAGGATGCCAACGCCCACCCCAGGGCCTTTGGGGGCCTGTGGGCAGAATAGGGCTGCAGGGCCCTTCTGCTGTCTGGCCCGGTGCCCAAGGAAGGCCTCTCCCTCCCACCTGGGCCTGAGGGTCAGGGCGGCAAGAGGGAGAGGCCCTCGAGGGGAGTGGCCTCTGGGAGGGACTTGTGAGCGCAGCCAACACACCCGCTTTGTGCATCCGCAGGCTCTTCGCGGCCAAGTGCAGCGGCTGCATGGAGAAGATCGCCCCTACCGAGTTTGTGATGCGAGCGCTGGAGTGCGTGTACCACCTGGGCTGCTTCTGCTGCTGCGTGTGTGAGCGGCAGCTACGCAAGGGCGACGAGTTCGTGCTCAAGGAGGGCCAGCTACTGTGCAAGGGTGACTACGAGAAGGAGAAGGACCTGCTCAGCTCTGTGAGCCCCGACGAGTCCGACTCCGGTGAGGCCTGGCCTGAGCTGGGGGCAGGCCTCGGGGACGGGGCTCACAGGGGTGTCCTGGAGGGGAGCCCCGGCTGGAGAAGCTACCTCCTCCTTCCAGGACTTGAGCTGCATACAGACGGCGCATGCATATCCAGATGCACATGCGCACCGATGTGTCCACCTGCGTGCACATGACATGAACGTGCATGCCCCCAGGTTCACTGCCCCGAGACCTACACATCCATACACATAAACACATGTGTGATCACGTGTACACATCACACATAAAATGCACGCCCGAATACCCCTACCCTGAGCCTGGATACATGTACATATATGTGAAGATATGTGTTCACCTATCTGGGAATGCAAAAGCCACACCCAGGTACACACACACAAGTATACACACTTAAGCATACACACACATACACACATGACACAGCACACTTGTGCACTGAACACCGATCCACGTGGCTGCACATACATGTTTGTCCACATGCTCACATGTACTGTGGATTGTGCTTGTGTGCACACACACCTCTTGTTCTCTGGCCCACTCCCCTTGCCGTCTCTGCTTTGATGCCCCCCCTCCAACCCGCAGCCCAGCTCCACAGGGATCTTCACCAGCACCCGGTCCACAAGCTGGGGATGCCTGAGAGGCAGGGATCTGATGTGCTCTCCCTTGTGCCCTCCCCTCCTCAGCCCCCTGGAGCCTTCAGTGGGAAGCAAACAGCCCCGAGCCAGCCTCTGTTTCCCAGCCGAGAGGAGGGGACTGGGTCCTCTCTGCTAGAGGAGAAGACCCCATTTCCCAGGGTGAAGGACCCTCCCTACTGTGCTCTAGCCCCCAAAAGGACAAGGCCAGTTTGAAGCCCTCCTGGCAGACAGGGCGAGCCCAACCAGGAGTGAGCCTTAAGGAGGGAAAGGCCAGGAGGTGGCTTCGGCCCTTGTTCCTGGGAGCAGTGGGGAAGGACTGGAACAGGAGGCATGGAGAGGAGGTGTCCCGGTCTGCCAGGCCCCATGGGTAACCTGGAGCCCTCTGGCAACAGGATCTGCCACATGGGAAGGGATTTCCATGGCCAGGGCCTGCGTGGAGGCAGTGAGCCCAGCACCATCTGTCCCTACCCATCCCTGGGCAGGGCACCTCTGCAGCCAGCCCCATGGCTCCTGAGGAAGAGCAGAGGCTGGCCAGGCCCAGCAGAGGGGGTCTCAGTGGGAGCAGATCACCCTCCTCACGCTCCAAGGAGAACAGGACTGAAGAAAGGAGACCAGCCTGGGTGGGGGCAGTGGGAGGCCCAGTGGTGGCTGGGGAGGCTTGGCCATCCATCTGGGGCTGCTGGCATTTCTGAGACCCAAACCTGGGGCAGGGAAGTGCCGTGTGTGTGTGGTGGGTGTGGCTGTAGCGCTGGTCCAAGTGCATATGCTTCCGCACGCTGTGTGTGTCTGTCCAGATGCGTGCAGGCCTGTACGTTCCTGCCTGTGAGCCTGGGCCCGTATGTGTGAATACGCCTGTGAGTTGCATGCGCGAGGCCTTTGTGGGCCCATGTGCATGTGCCAGCGGGTGAATGTGCATCGTGAGTGTGTGCGTGCATACACTCTGGTCACTAGCACTCTTGTGTGAATATCTGCGGCGCATGTCTTTGCTTGCACACTTTCATGTGTATCCACACAGCCATGTGCATAACCATGTGTACTCGCAGGGTAGAGCAGGCAGGAGACGAGGGCCCAGGCGAGGCAGGGCCTGTGGGCCGGGGGAGGGAAGGAGACCTTATCCTGGGGGCACTGGGGAGCCATGGCAGGTATCAACAGAGGAGACAGGCTCCTGTTGAGCAGCAGGTTGCCTAAGGGGACAAGGCTGAGGCCCAGGCTGCCCCCGCCCCTTCCTCACAGGCCGGGTTGTGTCCCCCACAGTGAAGAGCGAGGATGAAGATGGGGACATGAAGCCGGCCAAGGGGCAGGGCAGCCAGAGCAAGGGCAGCGGGGATGACGGGAAGGACCCGAGGAGGCCCAAGCGACCCCGGACCATCCTCACCACGCAGCAGCGAAGAGCCTTCAAGGCCTCCTTCGAGGTCTCGTCCAAGCCTTGCCGAAAGGTGAGGGGCGGCCGGGGGGCAGGGCTGAGGCTGGTGCCCGCACACCCACTGCCTTTCTGGAGACCACCCCCTGCTCCTGCTGGGGGCAGGGACATCCCTCCATCCTCCATCCCCTGCACATCCCATCATCCCCCTAAACCCGCCATCTCCCAGCTGCTGCCCCTGGATGGCCTGACCTGATCCCCCTCTCTCTGGGCCAGGTCCGAGAGACGCTGGCAGCTGAGACGGGCCTCAGTGTGCGTGTGGTCCAGGTCTGGTTTCAGAACCAAAGAGCAAAGGTAAGAGGCCACGCCCTCCACCCGCCCTGGCCCCGGGTAGGGTGGGAGTAGAGGGGGCAGCCAGAAGACTGTGGTCCAGGGGGCATAGGGCTGGCTGTGCCTGGAGGCGAGGGGCAGCACCGGCCTGAACCGCGCTATCCCTGCAGATGAAGAAGCTGGCGCGACGGCACCAGCAGCAGCAGGAGCAGCAGAACTCCCAGCGGCTGGGCCAGGGTGAGCCAGGGCCGGGACTGGGGCTGGGCCTGGGCCCGGGTGAGCTGGGGCAGGGGCTGGGCCTGGGTGAGCCTGGGCCAGGGCTAGGGACAAAGGGGCCTGGCATGTTTCTTTTAACAAAACTTCTGAAAAGCCTTCCACCAAGGCCATCAGATCCCAGGAGACTTCTGCGAGATACAGAGAAATAGAGAAGCCATGGGGACTAGGGGACCCAGGGAGGAGAGATGGCAGAGTGGCGGCCTGGAGGGTTGGCAGAATTTCTGCAGTCAAAACAGCAACGGTCTCCTCACACTCACTGCGCGCAGACACGGGTCTCGGCCTTCAGCACACCCCATCTCGCCCTGTCCTCGCAGATCACTGCAAGGAAGGGTATCGCCATGTCCCATTTCACAGATGAGGAAACTGAGGGACTGCCTGGGATCCCTCAGCCAGTAAGGCACAAAGTTGGACCTCAGCCCCAAGCCTGGAGCTCAAAGCCTGTACCTTTAACAGGATGGCACTACCCCCCTGCTGGAATTCTGCAGACAAAGCTTGTCAGGGTGTGAGGGGCCTGCTGAGTTGGGAGGGACCAGTTTCAGGGGCATGAGTCAGGCCCCCTCATCACTGGGCTTTACCAAAAACCGTGTTTCCATATCAGACTCTTGAGCCAGGGTTGGTCTCCTGGGCCTTCAAGGCCATGAGGGAGGAGCAGGGAGCTCCCTGGGGCTGCTGAAGTGGGCGGGAGACAGCTGCCTGCGCCCTGGTGAGAGGGAGGCTTCTGGGCAGGTGCCAGGGCACCAATGGGCAGATACCCGGGCACTGGGGGCCAGGCTGGACTGGGCTTCTAAGGACACAGCCTTAGCGCCTGCGTCTTCCTCGCTTCCCCCTCTGCCCGTCCTGGGGCTGCAGTCACTGCCTCTGGTCTCCCAGCCAGGTCCTGGACTGTGTCTCACCCCTCAGTGTTCCCAGCTACTTCCTGGACACAGCCTCCCTGAGAAGGTCCCACAGTCCCCCCAGCTCATCCCAGCCCATGCCGTACCCTCCATCCTGCCTCCCTCCATCCTGCCCACATGCATATGGCATGCCCGGCTCCTCCCCACCCTTCTCTGCAAATGGCACCACCATCCGCCCTGTCGAGCCAGGAACCAGGAGTCACCTCTGACCTTTCTCATCCCATGCTGCTGAACCGCTGAGGTGCCCAGTTGGGGAGTGAAGTCTTCTCATGTCTCTCGCACCCTCCTAGGAGCTGTCTCTTCTACAGCCACCTTGACAGAGATCCCACCCTTCCTCTGACTTCCTCCCCCACTGGCCCCAGCCTGGATCTCCTCCTCCAGCCTTTCTCACCCTTGTCTACCAAACCCTCTCGCGGCTCCCAGTGGTCTCGGGGACCCCCACCCAGCTCGGCGCCCCAGGGCTCCCCCGCGTGCTGCACCCTCACTTACCCGGCAGTCTGTCTCGTCCATGCGTTTGCCGCCCCTCAGCCTGGCTTGCCTCCCCTGCTCCGGCCTGTCGAGCCCCTGCGATCTCAGCTCACTGCAAGCTCCGCCTCCCGGGTTCACGCCATTCTCCTGCCTCAGCGTCCCGAGTAGCTGGAACCACAGGCGCCCGCCACCGCGCCCGGCTAGTTTTTTGTATTTTTTAGTAGAGATGGGGTTTCACCATGTTAGCCAGGATGGTCTCCATCTCCCGACCTCGTGATCCGCCCGTCTCGGCCTCCCAAAGTGCTGGGATTACAGGCTTGAGCCACCGCGCCCGGCCGTAAAGTCACATCGGCGTGAGGGCCCTTTCCTCCAGGAAGTCTTCCCAGGGCCTCTTTGGCCTGGGTCTGGGACCTTGGTGCTCCCAGATGCAGGGCAGAATCACTATTGCCTGTGTGCGGTCTGCCTCCTCCCTGGATCCCCTGGAGGGGCGAAGTGGTGGGAGGAAGGAAGAGGGGGGAGGGGAGGCCTCTGGCTTTTGGTAAACTGTGTCTGGAGGAGGAGCTGGAATGTGCACCTGGGGAAGGGGATGGGGAGTCAGTGTCCGGACAGCTTCAGCCAGAGTGGGGTGCCTGGGCAGTCAGAAGGGGGTCAGACTGGGGAGGCTGCGGTGAAGCCGGGCCATGGGGTGTAGCTGGGAGGGCGTGGGCCAGGCCAGTGGGTGAAGGCTCACTGTGCCCCCAGAGGTCCTGTCCAGCCGCATGGAGGGCATGATGGCCTCCTACACGCCGCTGGCCCCACCGCAGCAGCAGATCGTGGCCATGGAGCAGAGCCCCTACGGTAGCAGCGACCCTTTCCAGCAGGGCCTCACGCCGCCCCAAATGCCAGGTGACCACATGAACCCCTATGGTAAGCCGCCCTACCTCCGCCCGCCCACCCCAGCACAGCCCCTGCCCTCTGCCAGGCCAGGCAGACCTGGGGACATAACAGCCACCTGCTGCCCCAGGGCTCAGGCAGCATGGCCAGCACAGCCCTCCTGTCTCCTGCTGACAGGAAGGGCCCCGGCCCCTCTTGGCCTGCACTAGCCAGCAGGCCATCCTATCTCTCCCTGGCCTCCAGTCACACAGTCTACAGGGCAAACAGGGCCCCCAGGAGCCCCAGCCTGCACCCCGGTCCTGACACCCCTTCTGCCCCCCGCAGGGAACGACTCCATCTTCCACGACATCGACAGCGATACCTCCTTAACCAGCCTCAGCGACTGCTTCCTCGGCTCCTCAGACGTGGGCTCCCTGCAGGCCCGCGTGGGGAACCCCATCGACCGGCTCTACTCCATGCAGAGTTCCTACTTCGCCTCCTGAGGGCCAGCTGGGCGCACGGACGCTTGGGCAGGGGCCTGGGGGGGACCGCCAGCCTGGCCACCCCTGCCCTGCTCTCCGCACAGACTACAGACAGCCATACGGTGCCCTCCCCTCGGCCGGCAGGGCCTGACCACTGCCCGTTGGGTACAGCCAGATCGGTAGATGGGCACAGCCTGGGCAGGGGCTGTGTCCTGCCCCCAGAGACCTTGTCATCCCCAGGGACCCAGAGCTCTCGACGGCCACTCGCCTCCCAGCCCCACCTTGGCCTCCATCACCTCCTCCCCATCTCTTTTTTGGGAAGCTTAAATTCTCTCTATTTTTTTAAATGTCCTCTCTGTGTCCATGGCCCTCCATGCAAGCCCCAGGACAATGGCGTCATGAGGCAGTGACCTGAGAAGCGTGTGTACCTGTGCCCCAGCAAGGGCAGGGGTGGCCTCTGCGGGCAGGCCCACTGCCTGGTACCGCACCCCCCCCAGCCTGAATCTGGAGCAGCAGTGGGGAGGGGCCTGAGGGGGAGGCACTGTCCGGGGGCGGGCTCGGGGCCTGAGCCTAGGCAGGCACAAAGGGAGAGAGCCACGTGCAGACACATGCAGACTCACAGACAAACCCGGGAAAACACACACACAGCTGTGTGGGGACACCAGAAGGGACAGGGATGCTCAGCGGGTCTGCCTTGCCTTGTCAGAAAGGGATAAGGAGGCCAGATAGGGGCAGGGGACCCCCCCACTTCGTAAGAGCGATTGGAGAGGGAGGAAGGGGAGAGGAAGAGGTGAGCTTGAAGCACTGGACCCAGTTGTATCCCAGCCTGGGTCCAGATGGGGGGCAGGGAGGGCAGCCCCAGGCCCCGCCAACTCTAGAGGCAGATGGACCCCCCAGAACCAGGTAGCATCAGGCCAGACAGCAGAGCCTCCATGTGGTCAGGGACTTCAAAAGCACTTGCTGGGCACCCCATCTGCAATGTGGTCCTCTCCCCAGCCACCGCTGCCTCCCCTTACATACCTCCAGGGACAAGGAGCTCACTAGGTCAACAAGCCCAAGGCAGCTGTGCCATCCTGCATCCCAGAGCCAGGCTTCCCTGGCTCTCCCTCTTAATACTGTCCCCCTGCGGGCCTCTAGCTGTCCCTCTAAAGATGTGGAGCAGGTATCACTTCACCTTCTCACTGATGTCAGCCGGCCAGAACTGAGCAGGCACATCACCTCTCCTGCTGTGGCACCCTGCCTCTGTTAATGTGACCCAAAACACAATGATTTGGCCACATGACCTTAAGAGATTCCCACTGCCCTGCTGTAACTAAATCCCCGGGCCCCACACACAAGGGACAGCTAAGCCACATCTCTTCTCTGTGTCTATGCAGGATGGGGGCACTTACTGTTTAGACTGAGGGAGGCACTGTGACCTCCTTCCTCTTCCATTCCCTCTTACTCGATTGATTCCAGCCTGTGGAATTGCTCTGCACCCTGATTCTGTGACCACTGCTCTGCTCTCTCCCAGCACATCTGCCCAGTGAGGAGTTGGCACTGGGTGTCTCGCCTGAGGTGTGTGGACCACGGTGGCCTCTGCCTATTTGACATTGGCCCATTCATCCACCCTCTTTGGGGGACACATTCCAATTGCATTTCCTGCCCCCTTCCTCCAGGGCGACTGCAGAAGATGGTGTCAGACGCCCTGCTGGAAGCCAGGTGCACTAGGTCCAACCCCAGCCCGCTCAACTCTAACCCTGTCCGAGCAAGGAGGCTGGGCTGCTGGGACCTGACTGGTGAGCCCACCCTGTCCCCTGGTGACCACTGTGTCCCCTTGTTCAGGTGCTCACAACCCTGCCTTTAACTCTGAAGTCAAGCCCTAGGCCACCACCCTAAAGTCTGCCTGGTCCAACCTTTGAGCAAGTAAGGATGATGAATGTCCCTTTCCACTTTTGGGGCCCTCTGCCTGGATCTCTGGAATCCTCCAAGCTCAATCTGTTCTGTGGTTTTGCTCCCCCGTTTGCTGGGGAACTCAGTCCCCCCAGAGTGTCCTGGGCCAACCTCCTCGCCTGACATGAGGCCTCGTGCCACCCATCGGGCCCCAGTAGCCAGCTGGCCCTTCTATAGCTCTTACAAACAGAGCTTCTCCAAGGACCCCAGATGATGTCCTGGACTTCTGCTGCCTCAGCCCCCCAGGGTCCGTGCCACCATGGGTCCCTGGACAGCAGCTGCGCTGGCTTCTGGAGAGACACCCCTCTTTCTCCCTTTGCACATGCACCATCTGAATCGTGCCAGGGACATTCTGGGCAGATGCAGGGGCAGACACCCTACCCCTACAGAGGACCCGGCCCTTCTCTCTCAGACCCGATAAGTTGGAAGGGAAATCAGAAGCGGTCATCTCATCCGCCCCTTATTTTATAGCTGGAAACCCTGAGGCAAGAGAGGGAAAGAGGCCTGTCCAAGGTCCAGGTTATTGACAGAGCTGAGCTGAGAACAGGGACGTTGTGCCCCATTGTCCCCTGTGGTTTGTGAATGACCCAGGTCAGGGGGTCACAAATTGTTCTTAGTAAACTTGCCAGCCGCTGGGGTCACATCTTCCCATTCCGGGGCCTCACAAGCCCCCAAATCCAGTCGGGACCCCATGCCAGGAGCTGGTCTAGGGACAGCACACTTGTGACCCACAGACAAAGCCAGAAGGGACCTCAGAGAGCTCCTCGTGCTGCAGGCACCCTGTCAGCGGTGGCTTGGGGCCCTTTGTGCTGTGCCTTGCTGCCCACAGGCTCCCAGACACCAGCGCCCACCCCGCCCAGCCCCAGACTGTGTGTGGCACACAGATGAGCAAGTTGCATGGCCTGCCCTTGGGGGGTCTCTCCTAGAAGGAAAGCCAGACTGTCCGGCCCAGCCAGAGTCCAGACATGGCAGGGACCCATTTCTCAGAGAAGGGAGGCAATGTGTTCAGGGCCACCCAGCAGAAGCCTGCAGGGCCGGGCAGCCTTCTCCCACTTCATGGGAGCAGCTGCAGCCTCGGCTGGGAGCTGGGCAGGGAGTAGCCAGGACCACCCCTCGCCCCTGCCATGACATGGAACCTTCATCACTAAGGGGGCTGGGGTGGGAAGAGGGAGATAACTGTGCGGTCTCCAGAGCGAAAAAGAATGAGAGGTGGGCAGGGGTGTGGGGGGGGGTCTTGGCAAAAGGCCAAGTTCCACTTCCCTGCTGGGGAAGTCAAGCCGCAGAAAGGAAAGAATCACCCTAGGTGACACAGGGCAGAGGAGGGACAACAAGCCGGGCTCATGGCCCCAGCCAGAGCCTCATCCGCCTCCTCTGTGAAGCCTCCCAGGTACTCTGCTATCTTGGGAAACGCACAGGGAGGTCACCCAGAGACACTGCTCACAAGGGTCAGACCAAGGTACCAGCACAGCCTGGAAAGAGCCTGGAGAGGGGGTTGGTGCACGTGGCTGGGCATCTTTGGAGGCTTCCTGAGGGTGGGTGAATGTGGGAAGGCCCTGGCACTGCATCAGATGAGCAGGGCACGACAGAGACAAGCCTCTTCTCCTTTGGGAAACCCTGCAGCCTCCTAGCAAGAGGCTGCCTCCCCACCGCCCCCATCTGAATGCCCTTTTCATGTCGCATGCAGGGAGCCTCGGGAAGGAGGATTGCCTGATGCCTGCCTGGCTCCATCCTTGAGCTCTGGGCACCACCTAGGGTGAGGGAGAGCCTGCAGCTCTAGGGCTAAGTCTGCCCTGTGGGGAAAGGGCTCCACGCTCGTACGCACGCGCTCGCACACACACACTCACACCTGGATGCACGCGGAGGCTCACAGACCCACACGCAGGCACATGTGGCCTGGGGACTGGGGGAGCAGGAAAGACCACTCCGACATTTGGCCCTTGGAAGGCGCCATTGCCAATGAGCCTCTTTGCTAGATCCCCCGACCCCACCTGGGGGTCGCATGGGAGCCCAGCCCAGCCAGGTGTGGGGATGGGCCACCGGCATTCCTGTTTTCCTTGTACAGACAGACTCTCACTGCCCACCCGCCATCCCCAAACACATTTTATTTAATAACTTGTCATTGTTAAATTATTTATTAGCGTTTACCACACCGCCACCCCCACCCTGCCCTCCACTCTCACCTTCCACCTCTTCCCACAACAGCAGAAATGGAAACAACAAAAAGATGAGACATCAGTATATTTGTAAATAAACCAACCTGTACACGCCTGTGGTGCTTCTCCTTGGTGGGCAGGGCCTGGGTGGAAGAAGGGGCTGTCCTGGGCCTGGGCCGGTCCTGCATGCGACATTAGCAGATTTGTTGACGGCCACCAGGGACAGCAGGTCAGGAGGTGGGAGGCCTTGAGGTCCCTGTTCTTGCCCAACCCTCCCGTGATTCTCTTCTCTTCCACCCTTGTCTCATCCCAACCGTGAGTCATCTCCAACCTTAAAAGAAATGCATTCGCCCCATCTCCATTTCACTCTACCCCATTCTCCAACACTTCATTCATTCAATCAACCAGTGTTTATGAAGGCCCCTTAAGTGCCAGCCACCAAGCTGAGAACTGGGGATTGGCTATCCCTGCTTCAAGGAGATCAACAGTGTGATGTGAGTTCACTTGAGGTACAAAGAAACCCTGTTACTCAGGTACCCAACCTCGTCTGGCGGGTGGAGAATCATGGAAAGCTTCCTGGAAGAAGCTACATATTAAGCTGAGATCTGAAGTTACCTGGCACTGGGGGGACTGGGATTGAGAAGGGGTGTCTGAGAACATTCCAGGCTTGTCCAAAACCTCAGAGGCAGGCAAAATCTTGTGAATCTCCTAAACTGCAAGAACAACAAAGTTTGAGGGCAGGGCCAGACCATTCAGGGCCTTGCTGCTAAGTAGAGAACAGATCCGATTAGATCAGGGTGACTGGATAGAAGCTGGGAGGTCAGTTGGGTCACCAGGTGAGAGGTGATGATGGCTTTGACTAGCGTGGCAACAGTGGGGAGAAAAGAGAGGGCAGATTCCAGAGATATTGGTGAGGGAGGAGTCCAGGCGACATCTAGGTCCCTGGATCACAGAGATGGGGGCACAGGAGGCACAGGGAGTGGGGAGATGTGTGGTCTGGGCATGTGAGCTGGGGGTCCCCCAGGCATCCAAGTGGAGACATCCTGGGCCAGGGCTGGGCCTCATAGTGACCGGACAGGATGCTGAGCACCCAGGTCTTCAACCAGGTGGCTGGCCACTGAGGCATGAGATGGATGAGCTCCCCAGAGGAGTAAGGCATGGGAGAAGGAAGAAGCTGAAGCCAAACCCTGAGGAATCGTGAGGACTTGGGATGGGATGTGGCTGTGGGGTCTCCAGAGATGGTGGCAGGGATGGGGAGTGTGGGGGTGATGGCAGAGACTCGAGGGGATTTGGTTTTCAAGGTGCGTTCCTTGAAATTCTCAGGGTGTGTGTGCATGTGTGGACGTGTGTGTGTCTATGGAATAGCTCTGTGGACCGGTTTGCCTGGATATGACCTGCATGAAGCTGGAGGTCTGCAGGTGACAGGCCATCGTGCATGGCTGTGTCTCCTGGCGAGGCCACGTGTCTTTGCACCTGGAGACGCGCGTCCCTGGTGTGGCGGTCTGCTGGTGGGGATGTTTGCATCCCACACGGGGCGTCATTGCCTATCTTTGCATGTTTGCATCTGAGAGGCCTCTGGGCCTCCTGTCCACAGACCTGATGCCCCAGTGTTCTCTCCCTTCCACCAGCCCTCTGGTTGCTCCCCCTCCCCACACCTGTGGCGGAGACCACCCAAAGGCCATCTCTTATCCCTCTGGATGCCCGTGGGAACCAGTGACCCCTAGGGGCAGGCCCTGCCCTGAACCCTCTTCTGGGCTCGCCATTCACAGCCCGCCCTGGGCGGTTCCAGCTGCCTCCAGAGTCTAATGACGTGGAGGACCTCTGGTTCATGTCCTCATCTATACCCCGACAACCCCAAGAGGCAGGTCCCCCTGTTTCCGAGAAAACTGAGGCTCGGAAGGTGAAAGCGACCAGCCCAGTGCAGCAAACCTAGCAAGGGACAGCAGAACCAGGGTTCGAACCCAGGTGCAGCTGCAAACCCATGGCCTGACCACCATCCCAGCTGCCTCCCCAAGGCCAGACTCTGTGGCCCCGTGATCCGGTCTTCCAGGTCAGGCCCAGGGCCCCGGGAACAAGGAAACTCCTACCTTCAGAGTGCTTCACTGAGGCTCAGAGAAATCAAGTCGCTCAGCCCAGACTGCACAGTACAAAGGCAGGATTAATGAGGCTTCCTGTCCAAGCCACAGGCTGGGCCCATGTGAGGAGCCCTCTAAGCTCCACCCTCGCCCATAATGGGCTGACAGCTCTCTTGCCTATAGCAACCATTTAAAATCCCGTCACTGAAAAATGTGGGGTGAGGGGTGAAGGGGAGGAGCTGTGCTAATCCGTCTCTCCCTTGTCACCTGCCTGTCTTCTTCCCCTAGCCCAGAAGGTAAAGGCATGGATTGGTAGAGAAAATGTATGCTGAGTCCCGGGGAATAAGCGGTCACCCTCTGAACCCCCTTTCTGGGAGCAGATTTTTAATTTTGACTCTGTCACCCAGGCTGGAGTGAGGTGGTACAATCATAGCTCACTCTAAACTTCAGACTCCTGGGCTCAAGCAATCCTCCAACTCAAGCCTCCTGAGTAGCTGGAGCTATAGGCACACATCACCATGCCCAGTTAATTTTTTAAGTTTTTCTGTGGACATGAAGTCTATGTTGCCTTCGCTGGTCCTGAACTCCTTGTCTCAAGCAACTTTCTTGCCTTGGCTTCCCAAAGCACTAGGATTATAGGAGAGAGCCACTGTGCCCAACCCAGGGGCCAATGTTAAACAGGACGGACACTAGTGGAATGCCTGCCCCTGCCAGCCTCAGACTTTGGCCCACTGGCCCTCACAACTCAGAACAGCTCCTAGCCCATTGTACAGATAAGAAAACTGAGGCTTGGAGAGTAACTTGTTCCGGAATGATTCCTCCCAGGAATTTGGGGTTGGAGGTTTAGGCCATGGATCCTGTGGAGTTGAGAAAGGAGAGATCCCAGGCAAGGAACATGACTCTGAGGTACCCTACAAAACTTATCTTCAATGACTCTGAGAGCCCCCAGTCCTGCCTCTGGAACCCCTCACTGCTGCCAGCCCCTGTCACGCATCCCAGACTGGAGAAGGTGAGGTATGTGCAGCAGCTGTACAGATTGACAATCAGCCTGGACAGATGGGCATGCGGGGAACAGTCAGGAGGAGGGCTACCGCATAGGGCCATGCAATCCCTAGCGCCATGTGAGTGGCACCCCGGATACAGGCAGTGCAGTGGCAGGTCAATGCCTGGCCTGCAGGGTGGTCAGCTGGTGGAGAGGCAGAGCGTTGGGAGAAGGCTACTGGTTCCTCTTGCTTCCTCATCAGCAGGGAAGGGAGCACTCGGGAAGCACTCTCACGCACCTGACACTGATTGAGCCTCCGTGTCCTGCCTCACTGACACCTTGCAGCCCTGGGGGCAAATTATGTCCATTTGGAAGACGAGGACACTGCCCTCCAACCCCCATTCCTCCAGGATTCCCTGTCCTCCAACTGCCACTGGTCTGCCCCAGAAGCCCTCTTTGGCATGAGTGTCCCCTGACTCTATGCCAGGCAGACTTGGACCCCAGGCATTGATGGACACAGGGACTCTGTTCATGGCTTTGACTTCAGAGCAACCCCTGCAGCCTAACAGGAGAAGGGAGACCTGCCCTGGGCTGCTTCTCACTTTGCCCTTCAGCCCTGGCTTGGCAGACCCTCCCCAGACCCAGCCCACCTGGGCGGAGCCTAAGAAGGAGTTAGGAGAAAGACTTACAGGGACTCAACGAGTGACAGGCTGATGGCTGTGCTTGGGAAAGCAGAGAAAGCCTCCTAAAGGAGGGACGTTCGGGCTGAGCCTGCAAAGATGAGTCAGCATGCGTGGGGTGAGAGGCGGCGGGCAGGTGGAGCACAGGCTCAGAGGCGGGAGCTGCAGGAGTCTGGGGCAGCAGGGCACAGGCAACTTGTATTCAGAGTCTGAAGGCTGGAGGTGGCAGAAGGTGAGAGCCCCCGCACTACCACACTGGGCATGCCAGGGTCAGTCAGGTCCTTGGCAGCAAGAGACACTTAACACGTCACATCCTGTTCTTTGATTTAGCAGGGAATAAAAGGAGCACACTACGAGGTACTGGAAATACAAAGGAGTGTATGTATTCTCAAACATGGCCTAAAGAGGAATGACAAAAACCTCTTTACCCACTTCCCAAAGAAAATGTACATTCTTAATTCCTTAGAGTCCTGGGTGTTCCCCCACCGTGGTGTCAAGAGCCTTCATTCCTTCACTGGGAAAACTGATCCCAGTAGCTCAGCCATAGCACAGAAAGCCCAGAATCCCGTGGGAACGGGCCCAGGGGCAAGCGGCCCCTGGTGCATCTTCCCTCTGCATCGAACGTGCAGGTGGCTTGCTGTGGGAAGCATTCCGCTTTCACTCCTCGCCCCCAACCCCCGTCCCCGTATCAAATCTTGGGGCGCTTTGCTGTTAAATCCCCAGAACAGACCCGAAGAGCGTTTGAATTTCGCTACAAACCTGCAGTCACCCGTCAGGCCACGAGGTGGCGATCGGGAGTCACTCAGGTGTAGCCCACGTGGCCGGCGGAGCGCTGAGGGGCGGCGGGGACTGCGGAGGGCTCCTAATCGTGGCCAAAGAAGGCGGGAGCGAGGACGCCGCCTCCGCGGAGGCTTCTGTGAGCCTTGCACTGCGTGGGTGCTGCTCACCGAGGACGCCGGGGATTCCTCACGCAACCCTGAGTGGATGGAAGTGCGCATTCCCATTTCACAGGACAGGAGAGCGGGCGCAGAGATGTTAGGGAGCCTGCCCGAGGCCACACAGCTGGGAAGCGGCAGGCTGGGGTCTGAACCCGGGCTGGGGCAGTGCAGAGACAAACGTCCGGGAGGAAAACAGAGGGAGATGGGCAGGGAAAAACCAAAAACGATAGCAACCGCTTTGGAGCCTTGTTATGCCCGACCCACGGGCTCCTCACGCCGACCTGTGCGGCGGGGACGGTTGCCACCCGCTTCATTGCTGGGGATGGTGAGGATCAGGAAGGCTAAAAGCCTGGGGGGCGCTGCTTACCCGGAGCACCCTGGCCCCTGCCTACTGCGCTCCCCGAGCCCAGAGGGAGGGCCATGAGGAGGAAGTAGGGGAC